ATAGTATAGACTGCATTCTTTCTTCTCATATCTCTATTATCCCATACAAGGTCATGCATATAGCAAGAATTAAACAGTATTTGGTAATTGATAATAAAAATAATAATAATTAGCAGTTGTTGAACATGTAAGTCAAGAATGGTGCAAAAGTTTATTAAACAATACCCCATGAAACAAGCATTCTCAGTTTCTAATAAATAGCAGCTTTGAGAATTGTACTTATTGCTCAAGATCACAAAGCCAAAAACAGAGTGTAAACTGAGTTCTTTAGCCCCAAAACTCAGTGTTAATAGTGAGCAATTTGGTTTTATCCTTTCATTGAGAAAAATTTTCTAAGAATTTTTGGCACAGCTATGTTATGTTTAATGCTCACAATAACCCTGATATAATACCATGATATGGTCATAACTATTTTACAAATATAAAAATTGAGCTCTAAATACTCATGTGACCTGAGCAAGCATTCACACATAGTAGGTGGCAAAAGTGGACTCAGATCTAGGCAATATGGGCAATATAGGCAATGATCATTTTGATGAGCATTGGACACTAATATAGCAAAGCATGGTGTGGTGATAATATGTAGTTTCAAGATCTAAGTCAACATTATTTATTAGTATTTTCTTTCTCTTTCAGTTATTTGCATTTCCATGTCTAAAGACTCTTTAAATGGAGAAAATGAGAAATGATTTTCCATTACTGAGAATAAGTACTTAAGAAGATAAGCTAAATTAGTGATGTTTCGACTATACTACAATAACAAAATGACTTAAAATAGTACCCTATAGTACTGAAAATATCTTTGATAAATTATTAAGGTTTTTTCAGATTATTCATTAATTTCACAGTAATTTATAATAAAATAGTTAAAAAGAGTTTATTTCATTTATCATGAATTAACACATAAATTTGAGTCAGCACATACACACCATGTATCAAATATTGTATGCAATTTCATTTTCATGTTTTGTGCTCATAATAAGATTGATGTCAATTATAAATACTTTAATTGACCCAGGTTATTAAAACAGATAAATTGAGAACTAGTGAAGATAAAAAGAAACTATAAAACAGAAAGTGAATTAAAAAAAATGAAAAATAGCATGGACTTGCAGATTTCAAAGGAACCTATGCTATAGCAATCTTTGTCATATTTATGCTTTAGATTGTAAATAACCTCAGAAATGTAATATCCATAGTATTAAATTAATACTTCACAAAAAATTTATTGACTTTGTAGTATTCTAGTGTTTAATTATAAAATTTCTTTGATTTTATAAATGTACAAGGGCTATAAGCAAAGCATTTATATTCAGTTTCATTTTGTGAATTTTGAAACAGTAATTCAATAAAAGAAATATATTACTATGGGGTCATAAAAATATGGGTTTTTTTTTGAGAAAACTTATCTTTTCATAACTGACAAAATGGGGTAGTACTGAAATAATTAAAAATTTCATTATACTGTAGAAGCCTTTAAGTAACTTAAGTGAATCTTCTAGCTAGCTAGTGATATTGTAAATATTTATTCATTAATTTAACTATTTTCTAAATACAACTACAGGTCAGACTGTTTTAGTCACTGAGAATGCAGCATGAATAAGACCCACAAACTCCTTAAACCCAGAGCCTAAAATTTATATGAAAAGTGATAGGACTGGTGATTACAAGTGCAGGGAAAGTGCAGTCTGCAATGACAGGTTATAAAAGAAGTATCTAACCTTCCCAGAGGTAACCATTTAAGCTAAATTCCAGAAAAGGAATTAAGATGATCTGGTTGAAATGAAAAAAAAAAATATTGCTCATCAGAGTGGCTTGAGTAGAAAAGAAAATGGTGTGTTTGAAAAATTATTTAATTGTTTGACACAAATAATAGAATGATTGTGAGAATTATATGAGATGAATTTGGAAATATGGGCAAAATAAACCAGATCATGCAGGTTCCTGTGGGTCATCACCAAATCTCCACTTTATTCCTAAGGTCACTAAGAAATCACTGAAACCTTTAAAACAATAGAGTGATATTGTTGGTTATCTATTTAACCAGTTCATTCTGACTACATTACAGAGAGCTAATAAAATGATTAAGAATTAATTTTTTGATAAATCTTTAAAAATGAGCAATTGGTTTTGGATAATGTTTAGCAACTGTCAATTTAAAAGCATATTAAATGACACCCTCTGCATACCCACTGTAACTGCTTTAGTACTCTGATCAGCATTAGTTTTCCAAAATCTTTCTTGTACCACCACAATGTGTTTCTCTATGTCCTCAACTCTACTGCAATCTCTTAAAGAAAGGGAGCATGTATGATTTATCTTTGTTTTTCTTAGTACAGAATCTAGTAGTAAGCAGCATTCTAGGCACATTGGTTGAGCTAAATATATATTTTTTATTAACACTAATTTGATGTCAGCCATTTCCAATTCAGAAATCTGGACCTTCTAGGAATCATGTCTTTGAAGATTGTTTCATGTCTAAAAATAAAGCTATATTTTAAGGGCTATTAAAAACATTAAGCAATAGACAGAGGATAATAGGCTTCCCTTACTCTTAACATTAATAACTTTTTGCCCATAATGCTAATATTTTGTGTCTAAAGCCTAAAAGATAAGTAGCTAACTGAAATTACTGAATAGGAGGTTACTCAGAAAAAACACAGGAGCCAATTTTAATTAAAACAGAGAATTGATATAAGTATGATAACAATTTAAGTTCTGAGCATAATAAAGCATATAAAATTCAAAATTTTTTCCATATAAGATTTTCTGTTTAATTTGAGCATCAATAGCTGAAGAATATTTTTTCCAAGAAAATGGCACCACTGAATGCATATTGCATTCAAAATTACTATTTTAGAAATAATATGGGGAAAGGTAAAACAGGTATTGGCTCTCAAGTAACACTGGGAGATTATAATAACAACTGAGAAAGTTTGAGTCCTATATGGGATCTATCAAGGAAATATCTTTGATGTTTAATTAAAATTTTCTTGAATATACTTAAGATTTTATATGGAATCATCTTTAAAACATGTTATTTAATCTAATAATTGATTATTACCTATGATCTTTCAATCTGAATTATTTTGTTCCAAGTTTTATAACATATTAATTTGTATCTGCAAAGTTCCTTACAACACTTGATAGGAAACTTTAGCCAAAGCAGTATTTGCATTATTAGTTGATTTTTACAATAAACTTGTAAGAAATTGCCCTCCTTCTCTTTGATGGGTGATGAAATGATTTCCAGTTAGTATTTCAATGTTAGTTAGGTCATGCAAGCTTCCAAATAGACTAAAACAACTAAATAAATAAACTAAAACAACTAAATAAATTACTGCTCCTTTATCAACATTTTAATATAATTTTCACTCATTTCTATTTTCTGTTAGTAAGAAAAAATTGTTTATTTGTTTAAGCAAATCATAAATTTTAACTTGATCCCTGTCTTCTTATGAGTGGTAATATTCATGGTAGGAAAGTGAATCGAAAAGCGAGGTGAACTTGAATCAATCTTTTTTTTTTTTTTTTTTTTGAGTTGGACTCTCACTCTGTCCCCCAGACTGGAGTGCAATGGCCGCTCCCAGCCACAGCAGCCTCGACCTGCTGGACTCCGGCGATCCTTCCGTCTCAGCCTTCCAAGTAGCTGGAACTACAGGCGCGCGCTACCACGCCCGGCTAATTTTTTTTGATTTATTGTAGAGATGAGGTCTTGCTGCCCAGGCGGGTCTCGAACCCACGGGCTCAGGCAATCCACTCACCTCAGCCTCCCAAAGGCGCGGGATTACAGGCTGAGCCACCGAGCCTGGCTTGAATCAATCCTTTAAAGGAGATTAGCACAGGTCAAACATTTATTTTAGTATGTCTCATTAAAAAGAATCAAAGTAAGTACTTTTAGTATAAATTCTAACTGAAAAGAATTTCTGAGATTTTTTTTAAATGATTTTCAATTAACATGTTAAAATGTCTTGATTTCTCTTCTTATGCTGTAAGCACTTAAAGATTTTCCATTACTTAAATCATGATCTGTACAAACCATATCTAATCACAGTCAGTTTAGAAAATATATTACAATGTGTTTGAAATGAAGTAGATATTTTATACTTGAAATATGTTCAATTAATTAACATTCCCAATGATGCATATGTTGGTATAAATGAAGACTCTATTTTTTACACTACTGTATTTTTTTTTCCTAAACTACTCTAAGATGCTCACCACAAAAAGAAACAGAAAAATAGGTTTGCTATACTTCCTTATTTGGTAAAAGGTAGGCTTATATTAATCGGGTGGAAAATTCACCAATATGTGATTTGGTTTTACAGCATTTTTTCCTCTTAAAAAAATGAATTTAAAATGTAAGGAATATTTAACTTTTGAAGTCATAATATCACTGTATAACAGTTACCTTTTGAAAATAAGAATTTTTTTCTGTGTAATCATATGTAATCAATAGGTAATTTAGAGATAAAAGAGTAAGCTATATAAATCAATCAGCAGACATAATGTTTCTATTTTCCCATTCAAATTATCTATTTTCTCAAATGTGAATTAACATTTGTAAAATATGAAAATCTCATACCAACACTGAAAATTACTGCATGATCTGAATCATCTATATAATTACTACTACTTATTACTACAAATGAGCTACTTTAATTTCCTGTTATGTCAACATCATAACTAGTAAGGAATAAGTAGTAGGTATTTAGTACTTATTTTTACTATTCTATTTATTAATATTTTTTCTTTCTACTCTTACATCTTTCCTCCCCCCCACCCTTTGCATTGCACTTTGGTTTGCTTTATGTTAATTTATGTGCTTTCAAATTATTCCAGTCTTGGCTGCTACTGTCTTCATTTTTCAGCTACTTCGAACTATTTTTGTTCACTTTCTACATCTTGGCTCTCTTTCTGCTATTTCTCTAATGAGAATCATTACCAAAATATAACTTTGGCTGTAACTAAATGGGCACAAGTAAAATAACATCCAATACCTCTATGAGTAACAACTGCAAGCTCTTTAGTTCTTTCTATCTGTTCAGCATGTCTTGGTCTTCTCCTTGTACTTTGTGTATCTGCTTGATGAGGAGAGAGCCCATCCTTGGACGTGTTGGGGTCCAGACCTGAATTTCTGAGATTCGTAACTTGCACTCGCTGTTCCTCGGAAAGTCTATGGATGGTGACAGCTGTAACACTGGATACAGTAACATCTGCAGGTGTGCTAGCAACAGCAATAGCACCAGTGGCAGTCCTGTTATGCTCCTCTAACTCACCAGTGGAGGTAGTGTGGGTCAATGTAGAAGAACCTGTGGGACACAGTAGCACTAGATGCTAACTTTTTCTTTTAAATTTTGTTTTTTTTTTCTGATAAGTTTAGTCAATTATATTCTCTTCTATTACCTTAAGGATAATCAACATGAAGAGGCAAAACACAAACACGCCACTAAAATGTGAAGCACACCAGATCTGCAGGTTTGTATCAATCAAACTACGGATTGATTTTACACACAAAACACCATTTTCAACTGTATTATATTCAGGGGAACAAGGTACAAGAATAAACCCTTTAAGTGACCCTGAATCAATCTTTTTTTTTTTTTTTTTTTTTTAATATAGAGATGAATTTTAGAACAAATGCCAGGCGGGTGACAGGTTTTGACGGAATGGGTAACTGTGTAACCACACTTTTCTCCAAAGTATGCTTTGAATAGTCTGTGCCATGTCTTTTCATAATTTCTGGAAAAAATAAAATTTTCTGTCTTAAGAAAGTGAAGAAAGGAGAATTTAAAATGAGTCAAAATGAAAACATAATGATGGGGGAAAATGAAACTCTAAATAACTACTGTATGTAAATGTCTATAGTAACCTCCTTTGCCATAGAGCAGCTAACATGGTAAAATATTCAATATCATGAGCTATATATACCATAAAATTGAGTGAAGTTTTAAAAATTAGTTAATAATTTTAAGTAAAATTTTATATAAAATAATTTTGAACTTATTAAAATTAAACAAAGTATTTAACTTCAAATAGTTTGAAAATTAACTATTAGCATGAAACTTTTATTCATACAACATAGTTTTAATCATTGATCAAGAAACTCCAAATATTTTATAAGCTTTTCAAGGTGTGCATGTGTGTGCAAAATATTACCACATCCTTATTCTCATTAACTTTTTTATGATTTAAAAATATGTATTCAAAGTGTCTACTTAGAGTTTTCTTTTTCCTTTGACTTAAATTTTTTAAAAGGCTGTACTTGGTAGTACATAATACTTATGTAATGAAAGCAGTAATCTTATAATAGAAGCATTAAACTGAATGAGGATATATTTAAAAGGATCTTGACAGCTAAAATCCTCAACAAGAAAAGAACGTTATTGCATTTTGGAGCCTCAGTTACTAATTAGGAATCACAGATTCTGGTTAGAAAACTTGAAAACTTCTGAATATTTTTTTAAAAGCCAATGTTTTAAATTACAAAGTGTATGCATATTTATTTTTCCAACATTTCAAAATTCTGATGACAATGTTTGATTAGATATTTTAGACAAAATTTCAGTACTTTAACCATTCTGAGAGAGGACAATGTAAGGTTGCATCATTTAATATGATTTGAGAATATGCTGCTTTTTTTCCCTCTTGTGCTACATAGGTGGTTAGCAGGACTAATAATTCTGCTTTCTGCCTTAAACTCAAAAAAAGAAGAAAAGAAGTCAAACTTGGAGTCGTTCATTCATAGACAAACAAAGAAACCCATTTCTGCTACTAATTTTTCCATCCTAAATTGTCATAGTCTATTTGAATTTGATGTCGAAATTTAGGATAATTGAATGATAATTGTATTTTTAGGGGGCCAAAAGTAAATAAAGTATGACAATTATCCAATTATTTAAAATATTTTCAACATATTTGAAGCATCAGTCAAAAAAAAGCTGCTGTTGAACATTTATCCAAATTATTTTGTGAATAATCAATTTAGTAAATTAGAGGGTATTAAATTCATGTTGATTAAGCAAATCAGCCTGCAACATTTACCAAGTTTTTATCACACAGTTAAGCAGTAACTATGCTTATGATGCTAACATACAGTAATTGATCTCATGGTAGATCACACAATTGGGAGGTTCATTACTATGAAATCTAGTCCATATTATTCTCCTGGGAAATTTAATCAAGCCTTCTATTTTTGAGAGAATATATGAAAGCAGTATGAAAAACTAATATTTTAAATTTTTTTATAATTTCATCATAGTTTCCAGGCTTTCAGATTTCATTTGAGTCATTAACTAAATATATGTCAGTAATTGTAAGGTAAAAGTATAAGAAATTCTGAAATGTGCGCTCTATTACAAGTCTGAGCATTCCTACTTTTAACAAAGGGCTTAATTTAATTATTATATTCCATCAGAGTCATTATTATTAATCCCAAATAATCACTTGCAATTGAATCAACAATTCTGGTGTAATTATTGAGAACAGACTTACACTGGTTCTCTAATAACTCAAGACCTCCACACCAATTCCAAACACCCATTTTCTTAAAGACCCCAGGTGATAGTTCCAGACCAAATGTGGAAGTTAAAACTGATCTTTGGTCACATTTAGACCCCAGGACTTGCTAGCAATCCCAATTTTAAAATCTTCAGCATTAGGTCTGTACTTCCCACTAATAGTGGTGGTAATTCAGTACTATTCATTTAACCTGAATGCAGGATTGGGATTAATGTTAAAGTAAAGCATTAAAAATCCAATTTATTTAACAATTGTCTAACCAGATATGTATTCCTACCAGATAGTTTGCTAACCATTTCTTATATTTCACTTATTTATTGTGTTCATATTCTTTCCTCCCCATAGTAAAATGCAAACTCCCAAAGGTTACAATTTTTGTATATTCTATTCATTTACTGAATACCTAGAACCTAGAACAGTCCCTGGCATATAGTAGATGCTTAAGAAATATTCATCAAATGAAAGAATAAATGAATGAATGAATTTAAGAAGGCAAAAAGCATACTCGCAATAATAAAAATAATAAATTTCACAACTAATATGTGATTATGATTTTCTACCATGGCAAAGTTGCATTTCAAACAGTGACATGAATGAAGAGCACTTCCAAAGCAGGAGAGCAGATAATTTTGTTTTTAACTTTCAAAAACATCACTTTGAAAAAGTGTGGAATTTGAAGATTAGCTGTATAAGTAAAAAATACTTTAAGATTTTTGTTGTTTCCAGATACAGAAGTTACCCCTGTCAGTGTGAAATGAATTAACTAATATTCAAGTTTCTGTAGAGTAAAAAGTGGATATATCTAATGATGGCAGAAAGCAGGAATGCATCTAAATTTAGTTCAGTATGTTTAATACAAATAGTTGATCTATAAATAAATAGCACCAATCTTTTTCCTTGTAAGAGAATGAAATCATCAATAACCATACAGTTGTCATATATCTGTATACCATTTTATTAAAACTGTAAAACAATTTGGAATACTGATATTGGTACCATTTTAAATTGGCAGTGTATGAAACACAGATTTTCAAGTTGTCAAAATGCACCATATAACAGTTTAAGAACACTCAAAATTTTTGAATACGTAATTGTTTTATGAGGCAATTGCCAGTGTTGGAAAAAGCCTTAGAATTATGTAAAACAACAATTCAATATTAAATATGCATATAGCTATTAAATGTTAAAATAGTATTTTATGTTCTCTGTTGAAAAAATAAGAATGCTGCATAATTATGTAAACATTGTCTTTGATAGCACAGTTAAATGTATATATTACAAGACATATGACTCAAAAGAAGAAAATGTACATTCAGAAAATTCATTCCTCATTTGAAATCAAATAATGTATATAAAGTGTAATTTATCACAATTAAATTATCCTGTCAGGCTACTTGAGATATATTTAAAAATAAGATGTTCACAATATAAAATGCATATAAAATATGATTTTATTAATACTATTCAACAAACATTCCCAATATAACAAAAATAAAATGAAATGATATACATATATAAACATGCTTCTATAAATCATAACTATATGTACTCTGGAATTATGATAATGGAAAGTAACATATGCTATGTAAATTGGCAAATTCAATTAATAGCAATATATACAATATTAATTTGATTTTTAATTTTTTTTAAAGTTAAGATTTGAAAGATTTTTAGTTTTAGCAAAATATGTACCAAATAAGACCTGTGATCATTATTGAATCTGAACATCATTTATTAAACTTTTATTACTATAGATTATTTTTAAATTTCATGCTATGTTGCTTTGCAATTATTGTTTAACTCATCACAGAAATGAAGAACAAAATATATTCCTAGAGATTTGAATGCGTGATCTAAAATATATACAATTATATAAGTACATGTAAAAATAACTATATATTCAAATAAGTAGTTTTTAGGTACTTGTGTTTAGCATATTATTTTAAGTAAATTAGCTTAATATATTTTGTTCCTCCCTCTAATTTTAGTGTTTCATAGGAAACATTTGAATGGAAAAAAAAATAATGATTTTGTGATATTTTAACATGTAATAAAGAAAAATGCAATAAACATTTAACATGGAAAATGCAAAACAAATATATATATATACACACACATACAAATAACACCAAAATAAGTGCAAATGCTATTAATGTTAAAATTGTATTTGAGCCATCATTTAAATATTAAATATTATAAAAATTTTAGTATATATAATTTAATTTTTTGTTTTCTATTTTTCTTCTTTCATTAAATATTATTTGCATGAAACTTACAAGAAAACATGCCAATAAATGAAGATTTCTGCAAACTAATTGAATATAAGGGTGTGAAGTGAAACAAAGCCACTGATTTGTTGCATGTTAAATGTTAAAGTTTCCACTAAGCATATGGAAGCTGGAAAATAGCTAAAATACTTTTCATTTTAAATTCCAGTATCCAAAAATCTGTATATCTTAGTATTTAATAATTTAAATTGGTGGATGGGTGCATGCTATCAATATTTAAGTTAGAGAAAAGATGGGTAAACAAATAGAAAGTAGCTCTTAAAACTGTAGGATAAATGTGAATGTTTTAACTTTAATCAATTGTTATTTAGTATAAAATTGTCTATCTGGTTAAAATAATTTTAATCGAAACCTATAAAAAGAATTAGTTTAAAATTTAGCTCTACAATGGTCTTGTAAAGTTTTCATTTTAAATTAAAATGCTGCATTTATGTTGAAACTGCATAAGATTGAGATCTTAAGATATGTTGTTTAGTAAATATAATATTCCTTTAATTACAAGA